CGCAGAAAACAGTCGATGGCCCATCTGAAAAGCACTATCGTGATGGACGTGATGCAGGCCAGAATATTATCCCTGCATCTACCAGTGCTGCCAAGGCTGTTGGCAAGGTCATCCCAGCGTTGAATGGAAAACTTACTGGAATGGCCTTTCGTGTACCTACTCCTGATATCTCAGTGGTCGATCTCACGTGCCGTCTGGAAAAAGCGGCCTCAATGGATGACAACAAGAAGGTCGTCAAGTGATCCTCTGAGGGTCTAGTGAAGGGTATCTTGGGATACACAGAGGATCAGGTTGTGTCGACTGACTTCGTCGATGACTACAACTCTTCAATCTTCGATGCGGGAATTTGCATCTCTCTCAACCCCAATTTTGTCAAGCTTATCTCATGGTATGACAATGAGTTTGGTTATTCATGCCGCGTTGTGGACCTCATTGCGTTCATTGCCTCGAAGGGCTAAGAAAGTGATGCTCCCGGCCCTCTCACTCTCAATAAAAGTTGTGATTTTCCAGTGTTTCGCTATGTCAGTTGCCACTCTCTCGAGCTACACTGCTTTCTATAGATGTGTAGGGTCCTTTCTAATGTATTTGTGTAGATTTGTATGCAACCACAATTCCAACAACTACATCTATGTGCAAGAACTTGCCTATACCTTAATCTGAATGTAGGGGCTGAGCAGCTGATGGATGTTGTTCTCAACGACTTCGAGAGCTTCAGAAACTCTCACTGTTAGAAGTGTTTGCGTTCCATCCCAATGTCTTTGTCTAACTTTTAGTGCTGCAGTGTTGTGCGTTCCATCCCAATGTCTTTGTCTAACTTTTAGTGCTGCAGTGTTGTGCCGTAACCCTGCAGGGCTTCAAAATTCGTTGCAAGTAACCATTTATTTTTTTTCTTGCGAAAGATGCATGGAATTTCTGATCTTTGTCATAAAAAAGAAGGATGTGTAGGGACTAGGTTGGGCAAGACAACATCTTACCTAATCGTTTTGTATCCTACTAGCTAGTGATCCAGTGAGACATACAGCAAGCAGTAGCAGTCATGAATCCATGCGCTCAATGTGTCTATCTCCTATCCGCTCATTTTGTCGCATTTGCTCGCATATCGTTAAGTCCCTACATGAAAACGTGCCCCACCTTATTAATGGACGCAGATTACGTTATGTTATTTTGAGGACGAATTCGAAACGCACAAGCGTACCCTGATCGGCGACGCGGCAGCGACGCGCAGTTTTCTCCGTCGAGCGCGACAGCGAGCACCAACTTGGTTTTACGTTTTTTGAAGTTTCAGACGCCGATCTTTGTACGCTTGTGTGTTCCGAATTCGCTTTCGACAAGGCTTTCCGAACTCGATCAGCAAAAAGCACTATTGTCACAAAGTGGAGCAATCACAGTCTTGTAATGTTGATGTCTAAGGCCCGTATGCACGTACATCCCCACGTCGAGGGGAAGGGATCTGAGAGGGGAAGCGTAATCTTAAGTCTATATATCTTTCTTCTTCTTTCTCTGTCTTGCTTTTGAAGATTCTCATACGCTGATACATGCGCATAACAGATGCCAGATTACTGCCATACAAGAGAAGATATCCATTATTTCGTCTGATCCCCTGGGGATCCCCGGGGGATCACCTCACATTTTCAAAGTCATTTATCTTCCTGAAAACTCAGTGAAAATGCTCTAAAATTGTACTGAGGATATACTGCAGCACTGCTTAACATGTTTATGGTAGAAATGGGTGAAATCTCAAGATATCAAAATCTTCGATGAACCGCTGCTCGCGAGCCAGGGATTATCGAAAAAATCAGAATCTTCAGATTCCATTTCTTCTGTCGAAATCATGCTCAGCAGTATCGTAGTATATCTTCAGTACAACTTTGCAGCGTTTTCATTGTTTTTTCAGAAGATAAATGACTTTGAAAATGTGAGGTGATCCCCTGGGGATCCCCAGGGGATCAGAAAAAATGGCGAATATCTAATCTTGTATGGCACTAATCTGGCATCTGTAGTGCGCAGGTATCAGTGTATGAGGAACTTCATAAGCAAGATAAATAACGAAGGAGAAAGACATGTAGACTGGTGCGATATGACGCTTCCCCTCTCAGATCCCCTCCCCTCCCCGCGGGGATGTACGTGCATACGGGCCTAAGATTTTCGGGTACAGCCATGCGCACCTAGATGGTTTTGTGACTTCGTCCGCGAATCTCCAAGAAGCTTTCTCCACAGTCTGAAATTTTTCCGAAATATTACCAAGTGGAGAAGCATCGTTACATCTGAGGCTCAACCTCCCACTAGCGCTCTTGGTCACGACAAAATGTTACCTTTATCAATTTCAAAAGGCCGCGTAGACTGAAAAAAGACACTGAATTGCGAACTGCTTGCTCTATCCGCCGGTCAGCATATTATAATTGGGATCAATAAGAATGGGAAACAGTTAAAGTTGTACATGATGAAAACGTCAGGTTGAGCCTCGGTGACTTCGAGGAGCAACCAAATCGAGAACATAATTGCTGAAAAGAGAAAGGCGAAATATTTATGGTGGTTTATTTCTTTGCAAATCCACCCCTGCCGCGTCTCGCAATGTCCTCTAGCACCAAATAATTTGTAATCGTCAAGCAGCCTATGTAAGCAAAAACTGGAAAAGAAGTTTGAAAACTATCTTCCACGTTATCTACTGTACCCCAAGCTAAAGCAGTTATGTTATACAAAGGCGTGCCATGTCGAAGTAGCTGAATGGTAATCTTCAGAACTAGTCCACTCTGAACATAGACCTGATGGAATTCGGTGAACTTCGGCGGAGGCCGTCTAAGCACAGCCGCCGCGGTTCTTTTTTCACGAATAATGAGCGGCAATTCAGGAACTTTACACCTCAGTAGCTGATCTGACTTCGTCGTATAGATCCTTACTGTAGTTCCAAGCCTCAAAGTACATATCCTGCACAATATTTGTAGTAGTGTAGGACCACAATTGGTTTCTAACGAGTACAGCTTTTGGTGAAAACTACACCCAAAAACCAATTCGAACTTTTCTGCTTTCTACACTTACAAACAGGTGAAACCAGAATTGGTAAGTTTGCAAAGAAGCCGTAACTTCATTAATAACGCTATCGATAGATTTCCTTTTCGCTTCTTGATAATGTTAACAACTGAATCTATAAATCAAGGCTGAAAAGAATACTTTATCGATGAACAATCAGCACGTATAAGTCCTCTAGGCGGTTTTACTTTTCTTTCCACTCTTGTCATACATCTATTCGACTCTACTGATATTCCACTTTATTGTGGAACATGACCGGTACGCTAAATGCATAGTGCATGCAAAGAAGTCACAAAAAAACCAAGCGTTCCAGTTCTGCCTTTCATGCATGCTCCAATAATCGTGCGCTTGAAAGTCGGGACGAATGCGAAACAGACAAGCCTACAAAAATCGGCGTCTGAAGCTTCAAAAAACGTAAAAAAAAGTTCGTACTCGCTGTCGCGCTCGGCGGAGAAAACTGCGCGTCGCTGCCGCGTCGCCGATCAGGGTACGCTTGTGCGTTTCGTCTACTAGTGATCCAGCAATTGAAGGTGCTAGTAGCATGCGCGCGCTGCGGGACCGCCACGTGGTTTCCCGCTATGTGCACATTTCTGAATTGCGCTTGCGATTCTTTATATATTAGATTTTGAGCATTTAACTTTTTCTCGCAGACGCTGCTCCGATTTCCCTCTAACGAGACGCCAAAGGACATAGTTCAGCTGCACTATGTCAGGTAGGCGCCAGACTAAGCGACTCTTAGGTAGGTGCCAGAGTAAGCGAATATTTTGTTCAAGTTGGGGTCCCGCGCAGAACGGCATCACTAATCATTGTGGCATAATGCCAACTTGGCGTTGTGCCACAATGATTAGTAACGCCAGTTCTGCGCGGGACCCCAACTTGAACAAAATATTCGCTTACTCTGGCACCTACCTTATGTTCAGCTGCGCAGAATTAATGTCTGCTGCATAATGTCTCCTGCTGCTAAGGCCTGCTTCCAGCTACAGGTCCCGCCAGAATTAACGTTAAATCTGTGCGCCTTTCGCAGCTGAACAAAATATTCGCTTAGTCTGGCACCTACCTCACTGCTGCTCTTCGGCCGTCACTGCTCAGTCATACCGTATAGGCGTAAGGCACCCGTCAACCTGGTCAAATTTTTGCTTATCTGGGGTTACTCAATACGCTGATTCCGAAAATGCACTTTATAGCGCCTGAAAACGGCGAAAACATGCGTTTTTGAATGCCCTTCCCTTTGAAGTTGGACGAGTGGAGCAAGGCTGATGACCCGGACCCAATGATTATAGCATTGCGGCGGGCAGCCTCCAATGGTGGGAAGGAAATTGCCAAATCGTCCGGGCGTGTGTAAGGTTGGCTTGCGCGTGTAAGTCTGAGAGCATTTTCGGCAAGGAAGGCATGCTGTGCAACCGGGATTGCACTGTTTTCATACTTGGACGATAAGGAACTTACTGCATTAAAACCTTCGTTGTTAAGTTTTGCCGATCCACTGTTCTTAATTCACTCAATCCGCTTGTCCGCTTGATTCCCTTCGTGCAATACGCGCGTCACTAATTTGTCATTTGTCGTCGCGTACAGCGTTTTGCCGTAACCATGCAAAATTTCTTTTTGCCTAAGGCAAATTGTACAAATCGGCTCTATCTTTCGCATTATATCGCCTGGTGATGTTAGTTGACAAGATGATGTTGAGAAATATCGTATAGAATGAATGTATGCTTTGATAGGCGGTTGTAATTGCTCATTCTTACTTTGAAAAGACAAGAAATATAAATCATCAAAGGGGGAGTAATTTTGCATAGCGTTGGTGCTTAGTGTGCCTTTTAATAACGTTGTTCAACAAGATCAAGATCTCAGATCATAATTTTTGTCAGTCATGACTAGTAATTTTTATCGTTGCTTCTTTTGCGCAACTGCGCAAGTTGAAATTTACTCTCTTTTTCTCTTGAACCTCATGGCTTATTTAGTAAATTAGCGACTTTCAGGAAAAAAGGAGTACCGCTCAAGTATTCATGCCCTCACATCCATCATACGAAATGAAGGGTTGTTGGCCGTTTACAATGGGCTCAGTGCTGGCCTTCTTCGCCAAGCCACCTACACAACTACTCGACTAGGAACTTATACCTATCTTTTCGAAGCTTTCAAAAAGTATGGTCTGTTTGGTTTCATGTTTGTACAATGTACTTGGTCTTGGATGTATGTGTTTGCTTTATTGTTGTGAAATCATTTATTTTTAGAGGGGATGCTCCTCCCACATTTGCGATGAAAGCAACGCTGGGAATGCTTGCTGGCGCTGTTGGATCAGTGGTTGGAACGCCTGCTGAACTGGCTTTGATCAGAATGACAAGTGCGTTTGTTAGCAAACAGCTACCGGTGTAAAATTCCGAGGAAAGAATTCCAAATTTTAGGTGATGGTCGATTACCGCCGGAGCAAAGACGGAACTACAAAAATGTCTTTGATGCACTGATTCGTGTGGTTAAGGAGGAAGGTGTACTGACATTGTGGAGGGTGAGTAGAATTGAATCCTTCTTATCCGTTTGACATTGTACCGTTTTAGGGTTGTGCTCCAACAGTCGTGAGAGCAATGGTCGTGAATGCCGCTCAGTTAGCTACGTACTCACAAGCAAAACAAGCCCTATTAGAGACAGGATATGTACACGATGGTTCGTGATGCTTCATATCTTGGTATATTTAGTAACAAGTTTCTAGGCATATTCTGCCACTTCCTAGCGTCTATGCTTTCTGGGTTGGCTACGACTATAGCATCCATGCCAGTTGACATCGCCAAGACAAGGTATTTCTTTTTTGCACTTTATCAGAAACATTAAAGGAGGTGTCGGTCAAAAGCGATAGGGTCAAATCTGAGTTACTACATAAATTTTAAGCTAATTCGGTGCACTTCTGTTTTGTAGGATTGTACCACTTTTCATTATTACATTTGCACTTCCTTTCCCGATTTAAAGGGCTTCACTTTTTTAATGTTTACTTACTTCAAACTTATATCATTGTTGTATATAAGTATCCAGCATATACTACTGTCTGACTCACGAATTACCTCAAATGAGCTACTCAAAATATATCGATTAGTTTATGCATTGGAAAATTTGCCCAAGCATTGCTTGTGTGCCTATCTTTTTCTGAAGTGTTTTCATTCCGTTTAGTCTCTTTACCACCATATTCCAGAATCCAGTCGATGAAGGTGATCGACGGTAAACCAGAGTATAAAAATGCACTGGATGTCTGGGTGAAGGTGAGATTTGTTGTTTTAACATTACTTATCTCTTCATATTTTTCTGTTGTAGGTGATAAGAAATGAAGGTGTGTTTGCATTATGGAAAGGATTCACACCGTATTACATGCGTCTTGGACCACACACGGTCATCACTTTCATCTTCCTCGAGCAGATGAATGCCGCTTACTTCAAATATGTGTTAGGAGTCAAAGCCCAAGGGGCGCTCTAAGATCATTGCTAATTTATTCAATTCTCCAAGAGCTTCTCATCTATATAGCACTTCTAGGAAGATGATCTATAATGTAAATTTCGCACTACTTACTTTGCATTAGTTAGTTTTGTTCAACAACTTTCGTATTTTGTCATTATTTTGATAGGGAATACTTTCTTTTACACTTGATAAGGCGTCTTTTGACTAACTATTATGAGAAAGAAGAATTGCATGATGTAGATTTTGTTATCTGTTTTATTGCATGCGCTTTTTGAGTCAATATCCTATCCTGATGAGACGAGAGAGATCTGCAAGGTTTCTCTAATACAGGTAGTCTGTTGTAATCTCACCTGATGAGTATTTGTACTATCTCTCTTCGTAAATTTCTTTTGCTCTAGAGTAGAAATAGAGTAGATTATAGAATGTTTGCATATTGAAATAAACGTGTTGTGAAATATTGGTTTTTCGTATAGTAGAGGTTGTACTCCTTCGATCTACGAATTCTTCCACATGGTGAGCAGAGCGGCTTTTTGATGGTTGCTGGTGCAGTTACACAAATAGAACCAAAAACAGAGTTACACACTCTGGGCGTACGTATTGTTTTTATCTACTGTCATGAATTCGCTTGTCAGCTATACTAGGTCTCGCGCCACGTCTTCGAGCATTTCTTAGCATATCAGACCAGTGTGCCCACACGTGGCGCGAGACCTTGCACAGCGGACGCGCGAATTTATCCCAGTGGTAGAAAAACCAATACGCGTTGACACGAGTGTATGCAGGCAAGTGTGGCACAAATCTTGACCTCGCACATTCTATGTCCAATTATATAGGTACCACATAAGCAGGGCCCCGCAGACGTTCTAGCGCCAAATGGCAGCATCATTGGTCACAGTAAGCACTCGAGGGGTTAGATCTTTGAACTGGACCAATTTTCGCGCTCCATGGCCATTTGTTAAAAAAGGTAAAAGGTGTCACTCTGGTCAATGAACCAAGTTGAGGATAACAAGTCATTGCTTGAGGAGCCCGTGGTCAGCGAAAGATCGGTCCATTCCATTACGAAAAATTCAAATGGCCAGGTCAGAATAGAGAATTCCCTGAATTGTCTCCGAAATGGCATAAAGAAAACCCAGCAAGATTACACAGGTCAGTCATAGCGTGTGCTTTACTTTCTTCCTGTCTACTTGTATAGTCGGGTAATTTGTTACCGCGTTATCTCTGCTGTTTGTGTCTGACGCGTTAGACTCACGCAGGACTAGATATAGTCCCCTCCACAGTTGCTGCTACCCTTGGTCTGTGTCTCAGACCTGCCACGTGTGGCTAACATGTTGGCAACGTGGTAGCAACATGTTTGCAACATGCCACAACATGTTGGCAGAACATTTTGGCCACGCCAACATGTTGCTGCCTGTTGCCACCGTGTTGCTGCCAACGTTGCCAACGTGTTAGTCACACGTGGCACGTCCGCGACGCCAGAGGGGTAGCAGCAAATGTGGAAGGGACGATACCTTATCGAATCAGACGTTCAGCTGCCTAAAGATTGGCTAGCCTACTGAACGTTAGACGAGGTGACTATTAAATCTTGCGTCTGAGTGAGATGTTTAGTTTTTTTTACAGTTGTATAGATTTTCATGAGGAGCTGCGGAAGCCTATACGGCTAGACCTGGTCGTGACAATGACTATGGCCATTGATTGATGGCATTGCTTCGCTCTGTATACTAGAAAGTCGTCGCCGTCATAAAGGTTCCTTCATACTACGCCGCGCACGCAGCGTACGCGCTGCAGCGCAATGGAAATATGCTCACGGCAGCAGAGCTCCACTTTTTTATGTATCTCTATAACTGCTTATTATCACGAGCGTCATTACATCATTTATCTCTGTACAGCTTTGACCAGATACGTTAACATTGTGAACTGTAAAGTCAGCGCCGAAACTTGAATGGTGTTTTGTGAGCGAAGAAAACAAACTGCGGCAACAACGGCGCATCAAATTTGCAATTGCAGTCTAACAGTATGAAGAAGAGAAATCCTGTTTCATCCAGTGATGTGTTTGTAAGGAGATGTTAACAGCGCAAATATACAACCAGATACAACATACAACATACAACCATACAACCATATACTACCAGTATACAACCAGATGACGCAATGTGCAGTCAGTTACGATACAAAATGTGAAACTGGAAAGTAGAGGGACAACAACAACCCAAGTCATTTCATCAATCATTGATATAGACAAAGGATAGACAGGATAAACAAATTTGAAGGAACACTATTGAGGGACACGAATGTGCAGCAAATATAGAGATACATCAAGAAAGTGGAGCTCTGCTGCCGTGAGCATATTTCCATTGCACTGCAGCGGCGTACGTGGCGTACGCGGCCTAGTATGAAGAAACCCTAAGACTCGGCCATACCTCGCGCGATTGCGAAAAATCGCTATCGTTAACGACTTGATAGATTACTAATCCGCCGTGCAGATCTGGATGTACCCGAGTACACTTTTCTCAAGTTGATGCAAGCAGATCGAATTTTGCTCATCGACTGTGCGCTTATCAAGAATCATGAGTCTTTAGTAGCGCCTGGCGCAGTGACCGAAATCGCGCGAGGTAAAGGGCATTCGAAAAATCGTGACGATGGCGCGACCGCGCGCGACAGCATTTTTAGGTTTTCACCTCTACTCGACGGTTTTCTACTTACATATGACAGTATTTAAACATCGGAAGAAACTGAGCTGAGAGTTGAGGTGGTGCTGTTTTGTATGAGTCTTTTCCGCTCCTGTGGGCGCAAACCGCTGCTAAATCCGTCGTCAGTATTTCCAAACGACCTATATGATCATTATCGTAGCACTTTGGAGAGTAGTGACATTCGATCTTGCGCGACTGCCACTATTGGGCAGAATCTGAATTTGCACTTTTGCATATATTCATGTGTTACTCTGTTAGAGTAAAAGCTAAGAAAGGTACTCAACTTTTGTCTCACTAGCAGTGTCACCATCTCGAGCGGCTGGAATCCCGCGCAACTGCCTTGTTTGGCTCTGCACCGTTTTCGCAAACGTGTCTTCTTTGAATTTTCCACGCTTGCGCATTGAGAAGTATCGACAAAAACTTTTTAGTTCATGGCTAGTGTGGCGCGCTAACCCTTACACGTCAGCGCCTGTAGGAACAATGCGTCTCTGACGTCGAATGCCCTCTCGTCCTTGCGGAGTGTACAGGGCTTATCAATCGCAGTGTCGGGTACATCAGCATCTCCTCTCTCGCGCGGCCGCCTCAAGTGGACTCCGCACCTCTTTTGCGAACAGGTTCTCTAATTATTTCCAATCGATTGAGACTCATTCTCAGATTCCCACGCTCGTAGTTATAAGTGATCAGAGAGCATTCTCGCGAAAGAAGTGCAGAGTAAAGGCGCGGGAGCGGACATGCTAGTGCACCCAACACTGTAACGTTGGTCCCGTAGCCAAATGCTTTGTTCCATCTCGTCAGCTAGCCATACTTTGTGCGCGTTCCATTCTTCGGAGCTCCCTATGAGCTCCGTCGATAAACGAGAATAGGGGCAGAAGCGCGTGGTAGTAGGTGGCATGGACTGGGTGCGTAGTGGAGTGGAAAGTCGTCCTCAAGCTCAACTACGGCTTTGCGTCTAATCGGTACCGTAGGACGGCTGTTCCTTTGTCTGCTTGCAGGCACAAACATGCATGCTCATGGAGTTACCTCACGGCTCCGTGGCAACCAGCTCGGACTGAACCGAGAACGTCGCCAAGGGACCCTCATGAAAGTGGGTACTCATGTCTGTCCGCTTGCGGACAGCTGGGTGCGGTTCTCGGCTAGGTCGGCGCTCGTCTCGGTTGCAGATGCGCGTTAGCCACTCGCCAACGACATCGTTCTCAATGCCTGCTACCACGCCACTAGTACGTGGGTCGGATGCCTTGCACTGAGGCTTGGCAGAAGTCGACCGATCAGGAGCGCCACGGTCGAAGCAACCCGATCATGCATTCAGTCTTCTCTCTTCTCTTCCCATTTGGCTAACGTTTCGGCTATATCGCCTTCTTCGGAGTCTGAAATTGTCGAATGCATAAGTAATCTGTCAATGAAAAACCGCCTCGAGACTCAGAAAGACTCCAATGCTTTAGTGAAACAGAAATTCAAAAGTGTATGGAGGACTAAATCATTGCTTACCAGACAAATACCGACAAAATGGTGTGGCAGACCACTATACCAGTAACTGACAAGGGAAGTCAGATATATGTTTGCGTTTTGAGATGAGACACATGTATTAGAGATCAGCTTCGAACGCTATCTAAATATATTGTTCCTGGCTGCGCACATTATTCTGAAATGAGTTATCGATTTTTTTCTGTGCAAAATATGCTGAACACTTGACATATTGGCATTACGACATCATCTAAGTGCTGATTTACTGCGTTAAGTTTCTTGTTAATGACAAAAGACTCAATCTGATATTATTTTAGTATCCCAGCACCGGTTTGTGGTAAATTTCCATCTGCAGGCAGCTTTCCCGTGTTAAATAATATGCCAATTTCGTACAGAAAAAAGCTGGTAACTCGCTTCAGAGTAATGCCCGCAGCTGAAGACATTTAGCATATCTGGAATCAGCTTCAAACGCTAATTCCAGATAGGCTAAATGTCTGGAATCAGCGTTTGAAGCTGACAAATATACGTGTCTATGTAATCTCGAAACGTCAATCTAAGTTATCTGACCTCCATTGTGAGCTCTAATTTCCTTATAACTTAGTGAAATGACCTCAACTTGACCTCGGAAGACGCGAAGAAACTGATACGGGTCAACTCATTGGTGATGTCTAGGCACCCGTCTTTTCTATTCAAGTTTGGATTTTTGACGGCAGTTCAACGCTTCCAAATCTTACGCGCTAGGATTTCGGATTCGTACGCCAAGATCATGACCTCCGCGCGTGTGTCTGCGCCGTCATGGAGCTGTCTGCGATGCTTACCCAATGGAGTTGCAGGATTTGATTTTTTTAGCCCGTCTAGGTGTTCTTTGACTTGAGTACCTAGAGGGCGCACCGTCTCGCCGATATACGTGCCTCGTGTCTGGCAAGTGATAAGGTACACTACTCTCGCTACAAACCTCATCTTTGTTCTGAGGGCATGTTATGCATTTTGAATCAGGCAAAGCCTGTCATATGACCGATTGCGCACTAGCTGTTTAAAGGCAGCGTCAAGGCAAATCTGGACTCATGGGGCTCTTACGTGGAAAGTAATCTTGAGGCCCTAAATAAGACTCTGCTCAAGCGGCAGTTCAGATAGTGCACTCACAGCTAAGATATTGGGCTTCAAACTAAGCTCCGTGACCGTATTCGCATGGATTTATGGCTCGGCAATCAGTTTCGCGTAGATCCTCGCGCGAAAGGCCACGAATTTATGTGAATACGATCACGGGGCATAATTTGGAGCCCAATATCTTAGCCATGAGTGCACTATCTGAGCTGCCGCTTGCGCAGAGTCTTATTTAGGGCCTCAAATTTACTTTCCACGTGGGAGCTTTTAAGGTTTGTAGGGAGTCTATCAACTATCCTTATCCAGTCCTGTAGGTCCACTTGCTAATAACCTCCTGACCGTCTTGCTCAATGCCTTCGAGATATATGGCAAGCAGAAAGGAATCTTTGCACCAGTTTCTGTAACCACACTCTCCCGGACCTGGTGATGGCTTGCAGAAATGTGCCTAGAGGACCTGTAACCGTTGGATCTAGCTATGTGGTCAGCTAATGACATAGACTAAGCCCTTTGCTGCATGGAGGAGACCTTCGCAGCAGTCTCGTATGTATTTACGACAGATTTTCTATCTTATGTGGAGTGCGCTGAATTGCAATGAATGAGGACATTCTGCTGCCGGGCCTGCGATACCGTCGTGTTCTCCAACCATTTTCCGAAAGCTGCAACACGACATTCAAGAATGGCAGCCAATTGTTAGTGCGCTTCTCCCGTGTCATCTTGATGTGGCGAGACTGATGGTTGAGGATGCTGAAACAAAGATACAGCTCTTCTTGGGTGGAGCAAACTATACTACAGTCGTCCACTCGGCAGTACAAGAGCGGTTTTCGCGCGAGTACTAGGGGTTCTTTCTTGGACATGAAGACGATGGCTAATGTCGGTGCCAGATGCTGATCCTTA